AATTTCGCTGCATGTCAGTTTAAGAAAATTGTTATGACATGGTTTTGTAGAGAATTCAATAAGGAATCTTTTGGAAAAAGATTTGGATCGATAGGATAAAAGCCGGCGGAGTTATATTCAAAGTACGGGAGTGCGTTTATTTATGCGCCACCCGTTAATATCAGTTCAAACATAGTAGAGATTAAGAACTGTAAAAGTTGCTCTTTAAGTAAAGAGACTTTAATTATAATCTACTTTCAATAGTTATTTGAAATAAAAGAATTCAACTAAATATACTTTCCAGTCAAGAATTGAGTGAATCAAAGATGAAAGTTATTTGTTTGAATAGATCGGCCAGAACTACCGAGTAACATATTTTGATCGAAAGTAGCATAATATATTAGACAGAATATCGTACTTTTTATGAGATACTTCCATTATATTTCTACACCTTTAAATATGCTATGTTCGACCAACGTGAAAATTCCAAAGTAAGCTTTGTGTAGATGACTGCATTTATCCAAATTAGATTCAAAAGTAAGATGTGCATGAAAATTCCTGTTTTATTATATGGCAAAATATAGCTAGTATAGAAAATTTTTCGATATGTGGTTAAAATATTGTAGCTAAATGAAAACGTCGAACTTTCAAAGATAGTTAACATATATCCCCATCGAATCTAGAGAATCATTTCGTCTTTTAACACAATTAGAAGCGTTTTTTACGTTTAGAAAAAGTACTTTCTCTATTGGATTATGTATCTGACCTTGGTTAACGTTGAAATTTCCACACGAACTTCACTCTTCAATGGACCTTCTAGTATTTTTTCAGCTTCAAACTAACTTATACCTAAAATGGAAATTTGTTTTAGTTAACTTTGAATGCCCTGTACTAAGAAAACGAAAATAATCTAAGATCATGAGGAAGCGCCAGTTTCTGGTACATTTCGCAATGCAGATATATTTATGTTAGTCATCAATTCAGTTCACCGAACTTAAGGGTACCTTTCACTCCATTTTTGGCTCGTTGTAAAACTGCCGCCAAAAAAAACGAAAAGTGATAAAGAGTATAGATTTTTAAAATAGATGAAAAAGTCTTTTGAGGGCAACTCTTTATCTCCTTCCCGGGGTTTCGAGAAAACTTGGTTTTTCATTGGCGCCCATTACAATCTATCGAAAAAGTCATCCAGTCTGGCTCGATTTTTTATCGGGACACTTCTAACAGTTAATAAAAACCCAAGCTTTTCAGTTTTAAAAATCCTATAAGTCGGGAAGGAAGCGATATTTTCAGAAAACAGAATTAAGTCTGCGATAGGGTCTAGAGTGTTTTTGTAAAAATTCGAGCCAGATCGGATGAGTTCTTTGACGGATTATAATGGGTGCCAATGAAAAATCAACTTTTTCTCAAAATCCAGGATTGGTGAAGATTACTTTTTCCATTACCGAATTGAATATATCTCTGTATATATGTGTGCACAAGGAAAAAGTGATCAGCCTGCAAAAAATTCAGGTAAAAACTTTTTTGGTGATATTTCACTCGCTTTATACGAATAATAATTATGGTCTTGGAGATTACGATAGCAATATAGCAAAAAGCTTAGTTTTATCAATTTACTGATATACTGGTGTCTGATACAACAATGTCTTCTCTATACGTTTTTAAAGTGAAGACTAGCGCCGTATTATGACAGCAGATGGTGTTCCTCAAATGAAACATTTATAGTAATCATAAATTTATTAATTGACACCACTTGATTTTCAAGGCAATAAAAGATCATATATCTTTTTTCTGAACTTTTACCACACCATGTACGAATAAACACTACGAGAGTTTAGAATCTGGCTAATATGCAAAACGACATTTGGATTTGTTGGATTTTCTAACTTATTTTCTAATGACCCTCGATCGACAACAAACACCATTTGGTTCTCGTCTATTTTTATCATGTTATTACTTTTTCTTATTAGTTAGCGTTGTTTTATATGCAACTCATGGTACGCAGCGACGGTGTGAACAAGAATATCCACCAAATGTAACTAATGTACTTATTGGTGTTATTAGTGCTGTCATTTTTACACTTGCTTTCTACGGTCTGTGGTTTGATAAACCAATTTTATTATTATTTACAGGCATTTTACTTAGTCTGATGTTATTATTAACATTATCGGCAATGTTTATACCGAAAAAAATTCTTCATCAATGGCTACATCATGAACATATTCCGTCAAATTCCTCAATAGAAATGAATGATCATATCACCTGCAGTAATCATAGCGATCCATCGCCAGTAATAAGAAAACTATTTTCATCATTTTTTTCTTTCAATTATTTACTTTCTTCACGACTGATACGATTACTTATCAGTGCATTACTGAATCTTATCGGAATATGGTTAGTATTTTATTTATTTGTTTGCGTAACAGACAATTATTCACATACACCGTACAGATCGAATTCATGCAGATATTATGTTTAAACGGTGGACAAGCAACATAGATGTATGAAACGGTGAAACCCTCTCACTTCTTCTGTTAACTGTAACTCGATCATTGATTACAGTGGACATAAGACAAACTTTTTCTAATCTGAAGTAGCGTCACTTAAAACTTACCTAATCTCATTATCTATATTTTTTTAACATCATTCACCTTTGACCTAATACACCAGGGTAAATCCATATGATACCTACCGCGTTATACAAAACTTTGTGCGCCAATGGCGTGATATACCTCTCCAGATGCAGTTTTGGATGCTGATTTGAATGGCGAAAACCGCACCTCTCCAGTTGAGTGCACAGAAAAGTTATACGCATTTCATTTTTTAGCAAAAAAGCTCATTTTTCATCGTTTTCCTGCAGAGATGACCTTTTTTGGGATGCTTGTAGAATCGAAATCTCTCATGAAAACCTTTCAATTTGGTCTCAAATGAAAGATCTCGTCAAGATCTATTCAGATATGTGGAAAAATTTCGTGTGAATACTCAGGAACAGGTTAAAAAAATTTCTGGAAAACCAATGAGATTTTCGTGTTAGCCTTGATTCTGTTCTATATAGAAATCGATCAAAAGAACTTTATATAGGTTATTTTGTGTGTAGAATCCGAATATGGCATTTTTGCAGTGAGAGGTATATCACGTCATTGGCACACAAAGTCTTGTATAACATGGTAGGTTCTATGTGGATTTACCCACCCTGTACATAGAGACCTGCAACCCAACCCGAACCCGACCCTTCGGGTTCAGATGTTGTCGGGTCGGGTTCGGGTTGAACATTTTGTGGCACAATTTAAAATATCGATAATAATTTCAGTTTTGTATCGCTCATTGAAAGTTATCTGCACTGGAATTTCTAGTTGAAATACTTGTTCCAGAACAACTGCATCCACTAAGTCGATTAATGATTGCTTTCTATGGACATAAGAGAGTGCTTCCTGCACTGAA